AGGCTCCCATAGAAAAATGTAGTGAATTTGCAAATAATGACTTCCCATTAGAAAACTAGCCGCCTTGATGACTAGAGAATTTCTCTTTTGCTTTTTGGTCTGAATCTTCTCATAGCTTCTCATAAACTAATAGCAATTACATTCAGGAGAGTGAATGTACGTGTGTGTGCTTATACATATGTTTAGATAACGAATATTATAACAAAGTCTGAAATTTAAAAAAATGTATTTTATATATCTACCATTGGTTAATTTATAAAACTGTTAATTAGACTGTAATTTTTAATTGGGTCAAACATGCCAAATGAAAGGGAGCGGAGTTCAATAGTTAAGTATGTGGACTGCATGGTCATTCTGACAAGTGGAAGGGTACTTACAGGCACAATAGGGCAGAATATTTGAAATCAGGTTTGTCATCCCTTAAAATCTATCGCTGTGTGTATGTGCAGGGTGGGGAGAGGTCATTTCATTTGTTGCCTCTATCTGTCTATCTATCTATCTATCTATCTATCTGTCAATCAATCCAGCAATCGATATCTATGAATCATTTATTTACCATGTTGGTTTACTCTTAGGTATTCCAATGAGGAAAATTCCAAAATGTAGCTTTTGAGCTTAGAGATTAAATATGTGTGGCCAGAGAAGGTGCTATTAATCCAAAGTAGACTGTGATTCATTTTTCTTAATGCGTAGACTATCTTCCTAGAAACATTACAGGTCTAAAAAACTGACTTATATTAGCAGTGGGAGAGGCGAATAGAGGAGGAAGGAGAAAGGGGTTTCCATGCAATGGTCGGGGACAGAGAGGATGGCAGAGGACAGTGACTTGGCTGTGTGGTGAGGCTGCCAACAAAGAATTACCGAAGAGAATTTTGAAAATGTCAGAATGCCAGGATGTCAATCAGAATTATTGCTCAGAGTCGGATAATTTGTTTTTTAACTTTTTGTTTTTTTCTTTGCTTAGAAGGTTTTGTCTCATTACTTAGACGGTGAATTGACTGGCTCACATTGAAAAGTACTTACAAAAGGAACTTCTTTATTTTTATTTTTATTTTTTTATTTTATTGTTTTTATTTTTATTTTTTGAGACAGAGTTTCGCTCTTGTTGCCCAGGCTGGAGTGCAATGGCGTGGCCTTGACTCACTGCAACCTCTGCCTCTCAGGTTCAGGTAATTCTGCTTTATCCTCCATAGTAGCTGAGATTATACGCATCCACTACCATGAATGGCTAATTTTTTTGTATTTTTAGTAGAGACGAAGTTTCACCATGTTGGTCAGGCTGGTCTTGAACTTCTGACCTCAGGTAATCCCCCCGCCTCAGCTTCCCAAAGTGCTGGGATTACAGGCATGAGCCACCGTGCCTGGCCAAGAAAGGAACATTGAACAAGGAAATCCTGAGTATAAGTACCACACTTTTGTCACTTGGACAGTTTTTCATTCTCAGGACCTAAGGTGGGCACCAAGTATGTCAGATGCAGTAGTGTGTGTGTGATTGATTTCAACAAGCAGGTTAGCGTGAGTGTGGGGCTGTAAGGTCTGGAAGCAGTAGGGCAGGCTGGCAGGCTGGAAACTCCTGGTAACAGCTAAAGCTGAAACTAAGGGTGCCATGAAATTTCTTCCTCAGTGAAATCTTCACCTTGCTCTTATTGTCTTTCAACTGATTGGATGAGGCCCACTCACTAACGTGACGTCCTTTACTTAAAGTCGAAGTCGACTGGAGATGTTCACCACACCTCCCTAAGGCCTGCGTAGCAACACCCAGGGTGTGTTAGATTCGGTAGCTGGGTGCTGCAGCTCAGCCAAGTTGACACAGAAAACTATCACCCACAAGGCCTCTTCAGACTTGACATTCTAGTTATTATCACTTGAGGAAGCTTCTTCCTTAAACACTTAGTCTTTCAAAAAAAAAAATAAAATAAATTACTAAAAGGTAACATGTATTCTTAACATTATACTACAAAAGAGATTTTTCTAGTTTACTTTTAACTCCTGTGTAAATCTAAGTTAATTATAGCTCCAAGTAAGGTTGACAATTTTTAAAAGTCAATGAGAGATACTGAGTGCAGCAGTGGTCTAGAAATGATACTCAAATTACCTGATTTTTCCCTCATCTTGTTCCAAACTGAAAATAGCTGGGACCAATGAAAGAATATTTGATACAGCAACAACATAAATGTCATTCTGATTTTATAAAATGGAACTGGCTTATTTTTTCCTTTTATTATACGGAACTACCAGTATGCTAAACATTTAGCATCCTATCTATCAACAGAGGCAGATAGGATTGACTTTGTGGAGATCAAAATGAGAGAAAGTATAATTTATAAGTTCAGGAGAAAACAGCTGGAGAACACTATAAGGTGTTCTCAAAGTCATGAGGAAGAACTGGTAGAAACCAAGATTCTTGAGTAACAGACATTTTATTTTGATTACTGAGTAATAAAACTATTGCTGTGCTAAAATAACGTGTCATCAATTCAAAAGAAGATCAGGAAGAAAAGAGAAGTCAGAAAATGGAGACAAGTAGAAAGCACAAAATAAAATAGTACTCTACATCTAAACCCAACTATATTAGTTATTGTATTAAATGTAATGAACTAAATTCTCCCATTCAAATATAAAAATAGAAAAAGAATTCAATTACGTCATGCATACAAACAACACATCCCAAATATGAGAATATGGAAAGCTTTTGAATTTCTAAGAATGTAAGAAGATGGAAAAAACCATCATTCAAATGTGAACCAAAAAAACTCTATTAAAGTAGTAATATTAATATTTAATCATAAAAATTTCAAGGTAAACATTATTAACATAAAGAGGGTCATTTAAAAATAAAAAAATTTAAAGTTTTTGAAAATCTAATAATTTAAAATTTATATGCTCTTCATAACACAGCCTCAAAATATATAAAGCAAAAATTGACAGAAAAAGAAATAATGGTCAAATTCAAATTATAATGAAAAGTTTTAACACATCTTTTGAAATAATTGATACTCAAATTTGGACTACATAATATAGCTGTTTGACTTAATAGAGTGATTGAATGATCAATGTATCTAAAACATTGCATCCAACAAATGCAGCATGTGCATTGTTTTCAACACAGAACATTTTCCAAAATTGACCGTGTAGTAGAATATAAAGGAAGTTTTAGCAAGTATATAAAAAGGAAAATCAGTTAAGATGTGTTATCTGATTCTAGTGCAATTAATAAAAAATAACATAGGTATATATTATGTATGAGAAAAGTTCAAAAGAAAATAATAATAAAAACATAGAAAATTCCCCTATGTTTGGATGTGGCGGTAGCTGAGGGCATGAATAGGGGCATAAAGAAGTAAAAAGGACACGTCTTGGTTTACTCCATGTATTCAGGGATTGTTTAAACTTGTTTGAGAAGATATTCGCGTAGTACTCATGCAATAGAAAAAGCTACTTTACTGTTGTAGCAAGTTTTCCTCATACTCTTTCCTTTTTCCGTGCCAATGCTAAATAAATTCTTAACCCAAAAGCGGATTTTTAAAAGACACATGTTCTTTTCAACATAAGTGTAAGTTGGTTGCAGATTTGGATGAGCTCTCAGTAGTTCATCTGTAGTTGTGTACAAACTTTATCCCAGGTTGTTTTGGCCCAACTTAGCTACTCGGAGACCAGATAACTGAAAAACTAAAAAGAAGCTGTACTGCTTTAAGTGAAAGACGCTCCAGCCCTCAGGTGGAGTTATTTCCGGGCCCTGTGATAAAGCTCAGCTGGGAGGCTCCTCCATCATTACTACAGGGCAGGAGGGGCCGTTCTCATCAGCATGGTAAGTGGCTACATGCCTGTGCATTGTTCTCGAAATTTTACTCATCATATTTGGGCCTTTTCCCACAGCAAACAATTCTTGATGAAATTGCAATGTCAGAGAAGAAATTTGTAAAGAAACATTTGCTTCTTTCAATATCCATGTAGATGGGTTGGGAGCAGATGTGGACAGGCTGTAATCTGCTCCTCTGCGGTGCTGCTTCTTTCAAGGTAAAGCTCAGTTGATTTGTAGTATTTCACTGCCATTAATTGAAGCACTGAAGCAAAAATCCCTCCTTTTAGTTTTCACCTTTGTTTTAGGCCCAGAGTGCTGATTTTTCTTTAATAATTGCTTCATCTTTCATTATGCTGTTAAGAGTTTCTGAGGACTTCAGACTTAGGTAACCATCGCTGGCCTCATAAATGCTTGGCAGGGTAAAGTGCACAGACATCTTCTTTTCCTTCCTTGAGTTTAGTTCTTTGGCACCACCATGACTAGAGTAACTTACAATAATTCTGTTTGGGGACTACCTTTCAGATCCACTTCCGCTTTATTTTCTTCTGTGCTAGTTTTTCAGTATATTTGAATTTTTATTTCTTCAATGGAAGCAACATTCCAAACTGCTTCATCTTTGATTTCTCACCCCATTGGCCTCTCTGTCCAACCTTTTAAAAATGTTTAAATTGTTTTGCTTTTAAAAATTATGACTTTCAACATGAGAGAGACTTGAGATAATAGCATATTCTGTATCTTGACTATCAATGTCAGCGTTCTGGGTGTGATTTTGTATTATGGTCTTGCAAGATATTTCCGGTGGGGGAATGCAAAGGATCTTCCTACAAGCTCTCAACTGTTAATGTTGAGATCTCTGTAGATTGATACGCAGTTACTCCTTACAACTGCATGTCAGCTACAGAGATCTCAACATTAACAGTTTAATTAAGAGTTACGCTTTTCTAGTAATTCAAGTAATCCTTGTAGCAGCATTTAATAATGTACTCTGATCTATCAGTTCTGACATTCAGTGGGCATTTTATCATCTTCTATTTTATAGTGTGACTAATTTTTTTTTTTTTTTTTTGAGATGGAGTTTCACTCTTGTTACCCAGGCTGGAGTGCAATGGCGCGATCTCGTCTCACCGCAACCTCCGCCTCCTGGGTTCAGGCAATTCTTCTGCCTCAGCCTCCCGAGTAGCTGGGATTACAGGCACGTGCCACCGTGCCCAACTAATTTTTTGTATTTTTAGTAGAGACGGAGTTTCACCATGTTGACCAGGATGGTCTCGATCTCTTGACCTCGTGATCCACCTGCCTCGGCCTCCCAAAGTGCTGGGATTGCAGGCGTGAGCCACCGCGCCCGGCCAGTGTGACTAGTATTTTAATAGAGAATTTGGAAAAAATGGAGAGGCTTAAGAGAAGAATAAGGCGAAGATAGTCTTCTACACTCTTGGACAGAGTTATATTATAAGCTAAGCTCCTTAAGAGAAGAATAAGGTGAAGATAGTCTTCTATACTGTTGGACAGAGGATGCTCGTTAGGCCAGGCTCTTCATGCTGAGTTCAAAAAGAACAGCATCACTCTGCTTTCTGAGTTGCTTGAACAGATCATGTGAAGAGGGACAATCTTTTTTCAATGTTAGTGATTATTTTTACTGTGAATATTGTGAACAAATACCACAGGTACACCTGAATTTTCCTTGTCACTGTGGCACAGGGCTGGGTGGTAGCCAGTGGAGAAGAGAGAGAAATCTACACGTAAACTTTACAAAGTAAGAGGTTTTAATGATGTAGAAACAATGTTTCACCCTCTTTTTAAAAAAATTGTAACAAATTTAGAGACCCAAGTTTTGATCAGATTACAGCAGCTAGTGTATTTACAGCACTTTAAGTCGGAGGGAGGGGAGAGGAATAAGACTAAGGTTATCTGAAGCCTGTTTAGAACAGAATGTTATGTTCTGAGAGGTGGAATATTAGTTGGTCCTAAGCAAAGTGCTTTCTAAATTAAGTTAATTAAGTTCCATGCCTTTGTCAGGAGAGACTGTTAGTTGCTCAGCAAAGAAACAAGATGGAAGCCCTACTAAGTTAGTGAACTTGAACTGGTCATGAAGCAAAGAGGGCTGTGTTATGCCTTGTGAATTACAGATACAAAGTACAAAGGTTTGATGCCATTGGACACGAACAGAGTCCAAGTCAGATTGCAGGGGTGTGGCCAGCCAGAGCCCTGTCCCTGCTTCCCTCTGACTAGTTAGGTCTCTGTGGACCAATGGTCCTCAATCTTTTTGGCACCAGGAACCAGTCTCGTGGAACACAATTTTTCCGTGGAGTCAGCGGTGGGGGATGGTTTCTGGGTGAAACTGTTCCGCCTCCAATCATCAGGCATTAGTTAGATTCTCATAAGAAGCACACAACCTAGATCCCTTGCATGCACAGTTCACAAAAGGTTTCGTGCTCCTGTGGAATCTAATTTGGCTGCTGGTCTGATGGGAGATAGAGCTTAGCCAGCGATGCTCACTCACCTGCCGCTCACCTCCGGCTGAGAAGCCCAGTTCTCAACAGGCCACAGACTGGTACTGGTCCTCAGCCTGGGGATTGGGGACCCCTGTGTAGACCACAGGTCAGGATTGACAGGAGGCCTGGGGTATTTCAGTAATAGAATCTCAGGCTTTGAGGCAGGGTAGACATGAACAAGGGAAGGGGTTCCCCTCAGCTTATCTGTTCGAACAGCTCAAAGGGTCCTGATGAGACCGGAGGGTCTCCCTCTACAAGACTGTTTCAGTGCCACTATCAATCAAACCACAGCAATGTTAAGATCAGCGATTGCTATCACCTTAGACTTTTTAGGATTTAGCTTTTTCTTTCCCTCTCTTAAAAGAATAGATCATCGTCTGTTTAAAATAACAGAATAGTTGTTTGCCTTTAAAAAAAGATGATTTAAAAGTGAGATGGGGGAGTGTGAACGCTGTGAAGGTGGAGGAAATAGAAAAGTTTAGACAAGAAAATAAAATCACTACCCAAATATAACGAGACTTATTATCTTGATGCATTTTCTTTTAGATTTTTATGCCTATTTTTGAAGATATTTGACATTATCCTCTATATATAATTATGTATCTTATATGCTTTTTACTTAATGTGGCATCATAAGCATTTCCCATGTCATACATCTCTTTTTTGGGTGAACATTTAAGGGCTGCAGAACATGCCACTGCATTGATCTACCATCGTTTAAATGCCCAGCAATCTATGAATGGTTAGATTAAGTAGATTAGTTTTTGGGTTTCATGCTTATGAATTATGTTGCTGTGAATGCCATTAGCCTGCATCTTTGCATTTTAGAGTCTTTTCTTTAGTAATTTGTTTGTTTATATCATTTGCCTATCTAGTGGATGTCTCAAGTTTTTTTTTAGAAAGTTGATATATGTAAAAATCAATTTTTATCTCTATATATTTGTTATAAAGCTTTTACATTTTGGAGTTGTTAAATCTATTGCATTTTGCCTTGTAAAATTTCCCACTAGTTTTAAGTTTAGTATATATATCCATCCTTATTCAGAGTGCACATGAATGGTAAAGATAACATTTTACATTTGTCTGCAATGAGTTTTAGTACCTGACAAGGCTCTATATTGATTTTGGGTTTATTTCTTTCCAAAAACTAGCTGATTTTCTTTCTAGACAAGTCCAGCTGATATATATAACTACACACACACACACACACACACACACACACACACACACACACCCCTCACCTATTTTAAAGGAATAAAGTGAAAGCAGTTGTATTTTGATTTGCGTTATAAGTGTCTGTGTGTATTTGTCTTAATTCCAAGCTTAGTGCAGAGTAGGTGCTTAATTTATGTTGTTCAAATAAACATTTTAATGGAATTTAAATCCCTATTTAATTGTCTCTGAAGCTTAGCTGTACTCTGGCTCTTCATTTCCATGAAACACTTTTGATTATCCTTATTACACATTCTTCTGTGTCCTTAAGTGAGCTTGGTTTCTGCCATTTGTAACTGGAAGTGCTGAATAGCAGATCTCCTGTTGCCTAAACACCTGCTCAGTTCCAACCCCCATGGCTTATTTCAGAGGGAGTGCCTTTCCATCCACATCGGTCAAGCTGGCATCCAGATTGGGGATGCTTGCTGGGAACTCTATTGCCTGGAACATGGAATCCAGCCAGACGGAGTTGTTCTCGACAGTCAACAGAATCAGCTGGAAAATGCAAAAATGGAGCACACAAATGCATCTTTCGATACCTTCTTCCAGGAGATAAGAGCTGGGAAGCATGTGCCTAGAGCACTCTTCGTGGACTTGGAGCCAACTGTTATAGGTACCATAAACGTCACATTCTAGTGTACTTAACAGGATCACACAAACAAATCAAGTGGGTGGGATGATCAGATTATACGGGTCCATCTGAATGAAATCACATGGACCTTTCCCAAATGTAGAGGCTTACTCAATGGCCATTTAGGGCGATTAACCTGACAAACACACCTAAAGGGAAGACTAGGTTAGCCTTGATCAATTTTAATTTTAATTAATTAATTAGTTTTGACACGGAGTCTCTCAGGCTGGAGTGCAATGGCGCAGTCTCAGTTTACTGCAACCTCCTCCTCCTGGGTTCAAGCGATTCTCCTGCCTCAGCCTCCGAGTAGCTGAGATTATAGGCCTGGCTAGTTTTTGTATTTTAGTAGAGATGGGGTTTCACCATGTTGGCCAGCCTGGTCTTGAATTCCTGACCTCAAGTGACCTACCTACCTTGGCCTCCCAAAGTACTGGGATTACATGCCTGAGCCACTGTGCTTGGCCTAGGTTAGCCTCCTTTAGCTATGTGATGAAATGAATTAAGACCTGCTAATTGATCCACACATGGATTATAACAGAACACAAAGTCTTTTCTTGGGTTCAAGAGCTATTTGCTAGAAGGCACTGGCAAAGAATCGGAAAGTTTTTTGATAGCTGCTTTAAAAGAGTTGAATATTTGAAAAGGATCCCAAAGAACGAGAAGCAAATATATACTCTAGTTATGGGAAAAACAGTACAATTTTATGATTACTAATGATATGCTTCATAATATGTCATGCAAAAACTCTTAAAATGGGGCTAGAAAAATAACGGCGCGAGAGGGGCTCTTACTGATTTAAGAGAAAAGCTAGAGAGTGGGGTTGATTGCATTTCCTGTTGTACTTCATTTGTTGGTGTGTAGTAAACTTTGCCTACAATTAGTGGTTTTTTACAGTTTTACTTTTGAGACAGAGTTTCACTCTTGTTGCCCAGACTGGAGTGCCGTGATGTGGTCTTGGCTCACTGCAAGTTCCACCTCCTGGGTACAAGCGATTCTCCTGACTCAGCCTCCCCAGTAGCTGTGATTACAGGTGCATGCCATCATGCCTAGCTAATTTTTATTTATTTTTTTATTTTTAGTAGAGACAGGGTTTCACCGTGTTGGCCAGGCTGATCTTGAACTCCTGACCTCAGGTGATCTGCCCACCTCAGTCTCTTGAAGTGCTGTGATTACAGGCATGAGCCACTGTGCCTGGCCCTACATTTAGTGGTGTAAGGCAATAATAATTACTGGTTTGAATCTACAATTTGGGTGGGGCTCAGAGGCAACAGCTCCCCTCTGCTCTGTGCGGTACTAGCTAGGAAGGCTCATGTGGGAGCTGGGGGGTCACTTTGAAAGTCACTCATTTGCATCGCTGGCCCCTGGGTGCTGGTTGTTGGCTGAGAGGTCGTGGGAGGGGTGGAGAAAAGGAGAGGCTGATGAATTCAAGGTCATGATAAGAAGGAATTGAATGCAACCCCATAAACATTCCAGCTGGGTGAGGGGAGTACAAAGGTGAGTAACTGCTGATTTTTGCCCTTGATGTGAAGATGCCCGTCTTGGTCAGCTCGGATGGCTGTCTGAGAACACCATGGACCCAGTAGCTTAGACCACAGTTGTTGATTTCTCACAGTTCTGGAGGCTGATAGTCTGAGACCAGGGTGCCCGGTGTTTGGCTTCTGGTGAAGTCTGTCTTCCCAGCTCACAGATGGCCGCCTTTTCACTGTATCCCCATATGGCAGAGAAACAGCCTGTGTCTCTTCTTCTAAGGGCCCTAATTCCATAATGAAGTCTTTACCCTTATGACTTGCTACCCACAAAGACTCACCTCCAGATACCATCGCACTGGGGATTAGGGATTCACACATGAATTTTGGGGGGACACAGCCATTTAGTCCACAGCAGCTTTCTTTACTAGTTGAGGACCTGCCCAGGTATGTTCCTCTAATTCAGCATTCTGTCAGGAGACACTGTTATCCTCAATTTATAGAGGAGGAATTTCAGAAATCTTAGGGAGGTCAAGGAACTTCTTAAGATCACTGAGGCCTGGCGCGGTGGCTCAAGCCTGGAATCCCAGCACTTTGGGAGGCCGAGGCGGGTGGATCACGAGATCAAAAGATCAAGACCCTCCTGGTCAACATGGTGAAACCCCGTCTCTACTAAAAATACAAAAAATTAGCTGGGCCTGGTGGCGCGTGCCTGTAATCCCAGCCACTCGGGGGGCTGAGGCAGGAGAATTGCCTGAACCCAGGAGGCGGAGGTTGCGGTGAGCCGAGATCGCGCCATTGCACTCCAGCCTGGGTAACAAGAGCGAAACTCCGTCTCAAAAAAAAAGAAAAGAAAAAAAATCACTGAGCTATTAGAGGAGAGCTGGATTTGGTCCCAGGTTTGCCTTCTTATTAAATCTATTGCCTTTTAACAGAAAAGTAGCCTAATCTAGTGAAGAAGAAAATATAAATAGTTATAACAACACTGTTTAAGTGGAGTCATATAAAATTGCCAGTGTATGACTATTTTCTACACTAAAAAATTAATTTTATTATATATGATATAACTTAATAGAACTTTCTACAACAGGAATGTCCAATAATTTGGCCACCCTTGGGCCACACTGGAGGAAGAAGAATTGTTTTGGGCCACACATAAAATATACTCACGCTAACAATTGCTGATGAGCTTAAAAAATTGCAAAAGAATCTCGTAATGTTTTACAAATGTTTACGAATTTGTGTGGGGCTGCTTTCAGAGCCCTCCTGGGCTTGCATGCGGCCTGTGGGCTGTGGGTCAGACAAGCTTGCTCTGCAAGGCAGAGGGAATGAGTAACCAGCGAGTCATCAAATATGTCTGCTTGTTTGTTTTTTAGAGAGAGAGGTGAGGTCTTGCTCTGTCACCCAGGCTGGAGTGCAGTGGTGTAATCATAGGCCAGAGAACTCCTGGGCTCAAGCAATCCTCCCACCTTGGGCTCCTGAGTAGCTGGGACTACAGACGCATGTTACTACATGTGGCTAATTTTTTTTTTTTGAGACAGAGTTTTGCTCTTTTTGCCCAGGCTGGAGTACAATGGCATGATCTTGGCTCACTGCAACCTCTGCCTCCCAGGTTCAAGAGATTCTCCTGCCTCAGCCTCCTGAGTAGCTGGGATTACAGGCACATGACAGGCCCAGCTAATTTTGTATTTTTAGTAGATATGGGGTTTCACTGTATTGGCTAGGCTGATCTTGAACTCCTGACCTCCAGTAATCCACCTTTCTCGGCCTCCCAAAGTGCTGGGATTATAGATGTGAGTTGCCACGCCTGGCCAATTTTTTGTTTTTTGTAGAGATAGGGTCTCACTATATTGCCCAAGCTAGTTTCAAATTTCTGACTTCAAATGATCCTCTTACCTTGGGCTTCCAAAGTGCTGGGATTCCAGGCACGGGCCACCACACCCAGCCTCACACACCCTCTCAGGAAGGGACAGCATTTGCAAATTCAGAGCCACGAAGGAATGCCGCAAGTGTAACCAGGAGTTCACCGGGGCCAGACATAGGTGAGCAGGAGCGCAAATCGGGGGATGAGGCTGGGAAGATGGTCCAGGGCAGGCTCAAGGGTGAAGTTAGGGCAAAGTAAGGAAGTTGTGGTCAGAGAAAGGAATTTGTGAGTTTAAGATTTTGGAAGTGGGAGAGTTCTGAGTGATGATTGAAGTGGGGGGCAGCTGAATGGCACTGTAGTTAAGGAAGCTAAGGAGCTGTCATATAAATGTTCAAAACCGTTGAAGTCTCTGAGGGTATTAAGGGCATCATGCTGGGTACTGAGGCCCCTGGGCAACCTGAGCCCGGGAAGTTCGAATGGAAGGCTTGGTTACTTATGAATGGCAGGTGGTGCAACCACTAACCTCTGAGAGAATGAATTTTATGGAAAAAAAAAAGTATGAACTTATTGACCCTCAAGATCCCGATTCAACTTTGTCATGAAGAAGGAAGCTTCTGTAAATTACCTCCCCAGTTGGAATTTAGCCTTATAGCTTCAGAAGAGAAGGAAATAGTCCACCCAGAATTACACGTTCACTTATAGCTCGTTTATAAATATATCTTTTACATCCTAGTTCTGGGGGAGGTTTGTATGTAAGCTAGTTAAACATTATTTAAACTGAAATTTAATAAATATTATTTGAGAGGTTGCAAAATTGGAGTTTAGAAGTTCATGCACAGGAAGGCGCGGTGGATTGAAAGAACAATCTTGCTCTGATTAAATAGAAACACAATGCGTCTCTCCTTAGGCTGTGAGCTCCTAGGACTGGCTCGGCTATCTGGTGCCAAGGCTGTGGTGTATAATGAGGTAAATCTGCATAAATGCATGTCATGAAGCCAGTTCCGTCATTCTTCCTTATAATTGTTGTTATGTGGGCCGTGCGTTGTGCCTTATGTTCTCATAACAGCTCAATGGGGTAGGTCTTGTTATAATCCTTATTTATGAGCTAAAATCATTGACTAAGTAACTTCTCTCTAGCTTAGTAAGGAAAGCAAGATAGGAACCCAGGAAACTGATTCTTGAAACATGCATTTAACTACTAAGCAATGCAGTATCCCGCGGTAACCAGGGCAGCAGTCCCAAAGCCTACTTAGTCCTGAAACACTGCTGCTTAATCATCAGGAATAATGCTATTTGAGTAATTCTAAGGTGGGGAGTAGGGCATGCTGCCCAGGGTTTTAAAAGGCAATGAGGCCTGGCAAGGGTTGCCCTCAGTTGTACTGGATACTGCCAACATCTTAATGCCAATTTCCCTGTGTCATGCATTTATGCCCATGGTATTTGGGTCGTGGGGGCATTTGAGTTTGCCATGCCTTCCCTGTTAAATCCTCTTTTAAAGTGGATTTAAAAGATGGATATGCCTTTCTTTTTTAAAACTTATTTTATTTTATTTTCCTTTTTTTGAGAAGGAGTTTCACTCTTGTTGCCCAGGCTGGAATGCAATGGGGTGATCTCTTCTTACTGCAACCTCTGCCTCCCAGGTTCGAGCCATTCTCCTGCCTCAGCCTCCCGAGTAGCTGGAATTACAGGTGCCCACCACCATGCCTGGCTAATTTCCTGTATGTTTAGTAGAGACAGAATTTCACCATGTTGGCCAGGCTGGTCTCAAACTCCTGACCTCAGGTGATGCACCTGCCTCAACCTCCCAAAGTGCTGGGATTACAGGCGTGAGCCACCGCACCCTGGGTATGCCTTTCTGTATGATTTTCCAGCACGCAGTTGGCTATTTGTAGATAAAAATACTTGTCTCAAATGCCAATGTGTTGTAGGGTGGGTGGGCAGTGGGTTGAAGAGTGTCCCCAGAAATTCATATCCATCTGGAACCCCAGAGTGTGACTTCATTTGGAGACAGGGTCTTTGTCGATGTGGTTGGTTGGAATGAGTCCTCCTGGATTTTAGGGTGGGCCCTAATGTTGAAGAATTGTGTCCTTATCACAAGAGAGAGCACAGACACACATACAGGGGAAAAGCTTGTATGCCAGAGGTGAGAAGCCAAGGAGCACTAAGAATTGTGAGTCACCAGGAGCCAGGAGAGACATTTGGACCTGGCATTCCCTGGGGCCTCCAGCAGGAACCAGCCTCCCAGTGCCTCGGTGTTACACTTCTGGCCTCCGGAGCTGTTAGGAATTAAATTCCTCTTGTCTTAAGCCATGACATTTGTCGTCATTGGTTTTGGCAGACCTGGGAAACTAATCAGGGGTGCATGGTGGAAAAACACACTTTCCATGTATATGTAACGAATTCCACCCTTTCCTGGACTAAGACAGGCTAATTCAGCACTATCTGAATTCCATTCCTGGACCACAGCATTGAGAGAAAGCATGGGGGTCATCAGGTCCAGGGAGGGCCCAGGAGGACTAGCGGAAGGTGGACGGCTGAACTGCACTGAGAGCACTGACCTCCTTTCGCCCTCTGCAGATGGGATCCAGACGGGGCAGCACCGTTCACTCTTCCACCCCGAGCAGCTCCTGAGCGGAAAGGAGGATGCTGCCGGCAACTACGCGCGGGGTCGTTACTCTGTGGGGTCGGAGGTCATCGACCTTGTGCTGGAGAGGACCCGGAAGCTGGCAAGTGGCTCCCCACTCTCCTCCAAGGGGGCTGTGCCTGGGGCATGTGGGGTCCTGTGGCAGAACTCACCAGCATTATCTGCTGTCACCGTTGCCACCAACCACCTCTCCCTGGGCATTGGCCTGGGTGCTCGGAATGGGGAGGGGTCCTCCTCTTAGCTTTGATTACCCCTTGTTAGTAGGAAGGGGATGGAAACCTTTACACTTACTCGGGGTCCTGATCACCTGATCATCCTTGCTTCTCCTAAAGCAGGGTTTATCTTGTAATGAGACACTCTCACACACTCTAAAACCTGTCATTTTCCAAGAGTAACTGCGGCTTATGAAGTTGGCAAGAGGCACGCCCTACCTGGAGTTGTGTGGCTGTTTACTGCTTATGAAGTTGGCAAGAGGCACGCCCTACCTGGAGTTGTGTGGCTGTTTACTGCTTATGAAGTTGGCAAGAGGCACGCCCTACCTGGAGTTGTGTGGCTGTTTACTGCTTATGAAGTTGGCAAGAGGCACGCCCTACCTGGAGTTGTGTGGCTGTTTACTGACAGTCAACTCCTCTTTAAGGGCCTGAGTCTGGAGACCCTTTGCCAAGCAAGGGTTTTGGTGTTTGGCATATTTGTTTCCTCCTACAACGCCTTTTACGCCAGCATGCCACATGGAGCATAGAAGTGGGGGGAATGTTATTTTGCTCCAGTGTTTTATCATTTTCTTTCTTTCCTTTTTTTTTTTTTTCGAGACGGAGTTTCGCTCTTGTTACCCAGGCTGGAGTGCAATGGCGCGATCTCGGCTCACCACAACCTCCGCCTCCTGGGTTCAGGCAATTCTCCTGCCTCAGCCTCCTGAGTAGCTGGGATTACAGGCACGCGCCACCATGCCCAGCTAATTTTTTGTATTTTAGTAGAGACGGGGTTTCACCATGTTGACCGGGATGGTCTCGATCTCTCGACCTCGTGATCCACCCTCCTCGGCCTCCCAAAGTGCTGGGATTACAGGCGTGAGCCACCGCGCCTGGCCCATGTTGTTCGTTGTTGATAAAGGCCTTGCTTGTGATCACACACACACAGACGCACAGGGGACAGTGGAAGACTCTGCTTGTAGTAAAGCTCCGAAGTGCTTTGCCTACTCCAGAAGTACCCCTGAGAGTATTTCAAAACTGCTGTGGGGCCGGGCGCGGTGGCTCACGCCTGTAATCCCAGCACTTTGGGAGGCCGAGGCAGGTGGATCATGAGGTCAAGAGATCGAGACCATCCTGGTCAACATGGTGAAACCCCGTCTTTACTAAAAATACAAAAAATTAGCTGGGCACGGTGGTGCGTGCCTGTAATCCCAGCTACTCGGGAGGCTGAGGCAGGAGAATTGCCTGAACCCAGGAGGCGGAGGTTGCGGTGAGCCGAGATCGCGCCATTGCACTCCAGCCTGGGTAACAAGAGTGAAACTCTGTCTCAAAAAAAACAAACAAACAAACAAAAAAAACCCAAACTGCTGTGTTTGTTGTGGAGTTGACAATGGCAACTGAGTCCTTTGTGAAAGTCTGTGTTTTGGGGAAACCTGTTGTATCCTACCCCACGGTCCAGCTCTCTGCTTCTGGATTTCATCAGCTGAATTCTCTAAATTCTCCTGTTTACTTTCTTCAGGCAGAACAGTGTGGTGAACTTCAGGGATTTTTGATTTTCCGAAGCTTTGGAGGGGGCACTGGTTTGGGGTTTACGTCTCTTTTAATGGAGCGGCTCACAGGAGAATACAGCAAAAAGACGAAATTGGAGTTCTCGGTCTACCCAGCCCCCAGGGTCTCCGCTGCCGTGGTGGAGCCCTACAACTCTGTCCTCACCACCCACTCCACCACAGAGCACGCAGACTGTACCTTTATGGTGGACAATGAGGCCGTCTACGATATATGCCATCACAAACTCGGTGTCGAACGCCCCTCTTACGCCAACATCAATAGGCTGATGGTTCAGGCAGTATCTTCCGTCACTGCCTCCCTCCGGTTTGAAGGGCCCTTGAATGTGGACCTAATTGAATTCCAGACCAACCTAGTACCTTACCCGAGAATACATTTCCCCATCACCACCTTTGCTCCCATTGTCTCTGCTGACAAAGCCTACCATGAGCGGTTCTCCGTGCCAGACATCACCACTGCTTGCTTTGAGTCCTCCAACCAGCTGGTCAAGTGTGACCCTCGGCTTGGGAAGTACATGGCCTGCTGCCTACTCTACAGAGGGGACGTGGTCCCTAGGGAAGCGAGTGCAGCAATCGCAGCCATGAAGGCCAGGCACTCTGTTCAGTTTGTAGATTGGTGTCCAACGGGTTTCAAGGTGGGCATCAACAGTCAGCCGCCCACGGTGATGCCAGGTGGGGACCTGGCCAAAGCCCACCAGGCCCTCTGCATGCTGAGCAACACCACGGCGATCGTGGAGGCCTGGGCCCGCCTGGACCACAAGTTTGACCTCATGTACGCCAAGAGGGCATTTTTGCACTGGTACATCAGAGAAGGCATGGAAGAAGCGGAATTCTTGGAGGCCAGGGAAGACCTGGCGGCCCTGGAGAGGGATTACGAGGAAGCGGGGCAGAGTGTCTGATGCATGTGTGACGGGTGCAAGGGAACGTCAAGCTCAAACGCCATGTTTTCTGTTCAAGCTGTTATATGCCGAGTGGGTAATTCCCCTGATGAGAAGAAAAACGAAATCAAATCAGGCAAGACTCTACGTTCCACACGAAATTAAGTGGGTCAGTACCAACCACGGACGCATTATTTCCAGGGCTACTGGTACCAGTCAGCTCTGCTCCCCGGGAGCCTGTGGAAGCTTAGCATCCTTTGAACTGCTGGGTCACTTCTAGGTGGGGTTTCTTTTTTTGTTTGTTTAACCAAGAGACTATGAAACCCTGAAGTTTATGCTTTTCCTTTCTGGTACCTGAAGTATGAAACAGCACATGTTGATTACAAATGTTTCTTCCCCTATGTCTATATTTTTATACTGATTGAATCATAAATATTGTCAGTATGATTCTTTTTCCTCTTTTAAATATGTACCCAAAGGGCTCAGTTTGCTTTTTATGTAAACAAACTAAAGTCTTTCTAAAACTTGAATTTGGGTGTCCCGCAGGTCGGAGGTGACAGCCCTGTCCCGGAAGTGGTGTTCTCAAAGTTCACCGGCCTAACTGTGCCAGTCACTGCAGAAGTTTAATAAAAATGCAGATTGTTGACTTGCTAAGCTGGAATCCTGGGGGCTGGAGAGGCTGTGCCCTAAGAATTTGACATTCACAAAAACACTCAATGGAATTAATTGTTGGTACTGAATAGTTCCATCTGAGAAAATAATTTACTCTGGACAAAGCTCTAAATGCATTAAAACCACTAGCGAGGTTTTAAGTAACCACAATGCTTACTTTCACTGATTCTTGGAATTAAGGCGACGTAGATGCTGCAGAGGCGCTGGGTCGGGCTCAGCTGTTGCCCTTGGATGGATGGTAGACAATCCTTGCGAGCCTCGTCTGCCTGCGCTGTTTAACCTGTCAGCCCTCGCCCTCCAGCTGTACTGACTCTTGACTTCAACTGCGCACAGGCTTGTGGCTCAGATAGACGTCGGAAGGTAGGAGACACTAAAGCCTTGGCTGGAGGCATAAAGTTGTGTATCTGTTTTGAGATTCCTCAAACTACAAGGCTAGTACTTTTTGCTTGTGCACTTGGACTCAAAAACTGACCCTCTCTCTCGTGTGTGTGTGTGTGTGTGTGTGTGTGTGTGTAAGATCTATTTTTTAGAGTGTTTACAGGTTCTCAGCAATATTGAGTGGAAACTACAACCCTCCATTTTTGACAGTTCCTTGGGAGATTCTCTTACATGCTAAAGTCCCTCCCTGAGATGTGGCCTTGAGAGTCGTACTCAAACATTGGACCCTTTTGCCTGCTTTCAGTTGAAATCATCCTCACCATGGAGGTCACGTTTGGTGGAGATGACATTTAGCCACTCTTCAGTGCCAGAAGGGTGTTTACCCCAGCACAGACAACTCTCACTGAGGTTTACTCAGTCCCCAGGTCTCTAAGTATCTGGCTGTGTCCCCTTTGGACTCCACTTCCAAACATAACTCCAAGGGCTCAACTTCTGCTCACACAAAACCTCATTCCAGGGTTCTGTTTGGAGCACAGAGCCTGTTAATCAAGGTGTGCCAGGATTCCTGGTGTGGCAACAGGGAAAGAAACATGACTCTCATTCTCATGTCTCTGACTTGCTCTGATCAAACATGTGGAGGAAAAATTACTTTTCCCAAACGAGAGGAATGATTTGGTCAACATTAGCGTTTCTTCACTGTATCCAATATAGACTGATGGTGTCTATAGCTGGCTCTTCATTGAAGTGTGAAGAAAACTGTTACTGAGCAAAAGGGCTTGCCGCCTGGCCACCAAGGGTACAGTGTTTTAATTTCCTGCAGATGTGATTCCTACTTTAGAGCCCCATTTGAGTGCACCTGCTTCATGGAGCCTTCCAGGATCTTCCTTGTGTCCTCCCTGAGCTTCCAGAGCCCTGGTCTGTTCCATCCCAGGGTTTATGGACAGTGGAGACACCATGAAATCTATCACTGCACTGAAAATTTGTGGCAAGTACTCATTGACGAAAAAAATGTAATTTGTATGTCGTGCATAGTGGCTTACGTTTTTATTAGGCTTTTACTAAGTATTTAACATTTGTTGGCCAGGCGAGTGGCTCACGCTTGGAACCTTAGCATTTTGGGAGCCCAAGGCAAGAGTATCACTTAAGTCCAGGAATTCGAGACCAGCCTGGGCAACATAGTGAGAACCTGTCTGTGCTTATATATATATATAAAATATATAATACAAAATATGTGTGTGTATATGTATATATATATGTATGTATCTACGTACGTACATACAAAATATGTATTATGTATCAGCCAGGCGAGGCATGCACCTTTGGTCCCAACTGCTTGGGAGGCTGAGGTGGGAGGATCACATGAGCCCAAGAGGTTGAGGCTGCAGTCAGTCATGATTGCACCACTGTACTACACCCTGGGCAACAAAGCAAGACTGTTTCAAAAAAATAAAGTAAAATAACATAAAACTTATTCTTCAATGTACATGTGTTCTTTCTCCATTCAGCCACTAGAGGGCACTAGTGACGTGCTTAAATAGTTGAGTGCTGGGGGTGTGTGTGTGTGTGTGTGTGTGTGTGTATACATGAGTACTGACACATCGAGAAAAAGACTATATATCTTGTTTTTAAAAGTTAATAATCTACTAAAGATAAGAACCAAACTATTTCTTAAGCTTTTACATTCAGCTTGTGAATCTTATTATTTATAAGCCTAGAAAATTTGTATAATCATTTTTAAAGGGAACACACATGAATTTTGGGTGTCCTTTACAGTCTTAGTTAGATGCTCTTAAATATTTTAGGTTGCCTATACATTTAATATCTTCTATTTTCTCTTGAGGACATTGACAAACTTTCCTAAGTCCTGTAAATAATTCTTTACAAATTTAATAAATTGAATTATACCTATGGTGATTAAGTACTCTTAGGTGTTCTAAAACTTTCTACAAGCGATTAAGATTTGTACTTAAGTGACAAGTGTACATTTATTGACGACATTTATGCTTTTAAAAATTGGAATGACACAGCCGAGTATGGTTGCATTAGGCCAAACACTCTTCAGTATGATAAACGCTGTATTTGAAATGTCAAGATGGTCCAGCTTCCTTCTCACAGGAGCCCCAGCACACCCTTATTTAATGGATTCACTTACAGTGATTCATTGAGTGCTCGTCAGAGTCCCAGGCACGGGGCATGCAGCACTGAACAAAACAGAAACAAGCCCTGCCCTCATGGAGTTTCTGTTGCAGTGAAGCAGGGGGTGGGTGGAAGACAGTAAGCACAGTAAGTCAGTCAATTATACTGCAGGTTAAAGATGGCAGGTGCTCTTGGAAAACAAAGAGGACAGTAAGGGGGAACGGATTGCAGCTTCAAATGAGTGGGCATTGTAGTTTCCAAAGAAAGAAGGCTTTGACAAGGAGCGACAAGGGAGACCGCAGATATTTGAGGGGAAAACACTCCTGGCAAGAGGAACTGTCAGAGGTGTTGGAACCAGAGTGACTCCATCTTGAGTGAGCGCTAGGAAAACGGGCTGGCACTTGCTGGGCTGTGCTCCCAGAAAGCTGGGTATTCCTGGCCTCTAGATGTTCATGGCTAAGGGAACAGATGGATAACATTTACTAAACAGACCCCAACTTGGGAGGGTCCTGATATCCCGATATCTTGAGATCAGAAGCATTTGTAAGTTGGCTTTAAATATAATAATATTGATTCTTGTAAAAAATAGTAATTAAGAAAATTAATCCTTTATCACAAACCCTTGTAGCAGAAGACATCTTCCGTGATTTTTTAAAATCTTATATATAAACAAGCATTGTACCCGGGGTGGACGTGTTCCTACTGTCTATGGAGGAGCTGCTCCTTCACCCCTTTGCTTTCTTAACAAACATGCTTGGCCGGGCGCGGTGGCTCAAGCCTGTCATCCCAGCACTTTGGGAGGCCGAGGCGGGTGGATCACGAGGTTGAGAGATCGAGACCATCCTGGTCAACAAGGTGAAACCCCATCTCTACTAAAAATACAAAAATTAGCTGGGCATGGTGGCGTGTGCTTGTAGTCCCAGCTACTCAGGAGGCTGAGGCAGGAGAATTGCCTGAACCCAGGAGGCGGAGGTTGCAGGGAGCCGAGATCGCGCCATTGCACTCCAGCCTGGGTAACAAGAGCGAAACTCCAACTCAAAAAAAAAAAAAAAAAAAACCAACCAACAAACAAACAAACATGCTTTCGCTTTGCCCCGTGGACTTGCCCTGAATTCTTTTTTGCATGAGATCCAAGAGCCCTCTAGTGGGGTCTGGGTGGGGATCCCTTTCCAGCAACAGAACCAGCGATGGAGACTTGGGAAGGGGGGCCACCGAGGGAGAAGGAAACCTGAAAGGCAAGTTGGAGAAAAGTCTACGCAGGAGGGGGCGTGGGCCTGGTCCCATGCGTCAAAGGACGGTCCTAAGGGGAATGATAGGAATGCAAGCCTGACTAGTGGGGGTTCAATGAATCTGGAGAACATCATCCTCAGCAAACTGACACAAGAACAGAAAATGAAACACCGCATATTCTCACTCATAGGTGGGTGATGAAAAATGAGAACACATGGACACAGAAAGGGGAGTACTAAACACTGGGGTCTATTGGGGGGAAAAGGGGAGGGCCAGTGGGAGGGGGAGGTGGGGAGGGATAGCCTGGGGAGAGATGCCAAATGTGGGTGAAGGGGAGAAGAAAAGCAAAGCACACTGCCATGTGTGTACCTACGCAACTGTCTTGCATGCCCTGCTCATGTACCCCAAAACCTATAATCCAATAAAAAATTTAAAAAAAAAAAAAAAAAAAAAAAAAAAAAAAAAAGAAAGAAGAGCAAGTGCAGAGACATCGTCAGAGTGCTGCTCCGATGTAAGAGGAAGCACAGTCATGTGCTACTGTATGGAAGAGGTGACAGGTCAAGAGCTCTCGGCCAGCTGCGGTGGCTCACACCTGTCATCACAGCACTCTGGGAGGTGGAGGCAGGAGGATCGCTTGATCCCGGGAGTTTGAGACCAGCCTGGGCAACACGGTGGGACCCTGTCTTCATTTTGATTTTTTAAAAGGCGTTGTTTTTAGCATTGGAGAAAGAAAAATGGGTTTGCTTGCTAGTGTGAATGACGCAGCGGAGCAGGTGGCATCGGTGATGTGGGAGGAAGACAGAAAGGTTGTTGGATCCATGTCTTAGGTGGATGAGAGGGGAGGGAACTTCGAGTGTGACCCAGAGGTCATTCCTACACAGAAACACGGACAATTCATCTAACTCCACAGGCAGGAAGGCAGAGTGTGTGAGGACAGGCGCTCTCAGGGCGAAGACACCGCGGTAAGGTTTCTGTGAAATGGTGCTTCTGAAATGTTTTCTTCACGTGAAGGGAGTAAAGTCACCAGCTGAGGTTGGAAGGGGAAGGATACCCTAGAGGTGGGAGGAGAGAAGAAAATGAGTGAAAGTCTAGGATAGTAGGAGCAGGAGTGGGGGAAGGGAGTGTGGTATAAACGCTGGGCCATCTCAAGAGCCCATCTAAGGAGTCCAGTGAGGATTCTAAGGTGTGATCAGTCCATGTGTGTGTGTGTGTGTGTGTGTGTGTGTGTGGGGTGTCTGTATAGTGTGGTGTATGTGTATGATGTGATGTGTGTATATTTGTGATGTATGTGGGTGTGTGGTGTATGGTGTGTGTGTGGGGTGTGTATGTGTGCGTGGTGTGTGGTGTTTTTGTGTGTATGTGGTTTGGTGTGGTGTGTGGTATGTGTGTGTGGCGTGGTGTGTGATGTGTGTGTGATGTGTGTATGTCGTGTCTGTGTGGTGTGGTGTGTGTGTGGCATGTATGTGGGGCATGTGTGTGGTGTGCTGTGTGTATGGTGTACATGTGTGGTGTGTGTGTGGTGTGTGGTGTGGTGTGTGTGAGTGTGTGTGTGGGGTTTTAAGCTGTGCTAAGCTTAAGGGTTCAAGGGCAGGAAGAATGGCGTGTTTGAATGAATAAGGCAAGGCAAATGTGGAACGAGGGAATCTCAGATGTGCGCAGCTAGCGATTGTAAAATCCACCCTGGCGTTTAGACTGGCAAGGAGGGAGGAGAGGTCGGGAAGTGGCAGGAGGGATGGTGAAAAGATAGTAGGACCCGTGGATTATTGGCATCAGTGGGGCTGGGAGATGGCTGGAGTTGCTGTCCTAGGAAGGGGAAGCTGGAAAGACAGGCCATGGTGGTCAGAAAGTTTGTGACTTGTAATGACAAAGTCATGGGAGTGAGTGGTGAGGCAGGATGCGGGTCAGGGTCACGGGAGTGGAAATGTTTAAGGAACTGAGGGGGCCAGGGTGTAGGAGAGGTCATCTACATGTGTACTGAAATCACCACAAATTAAGACAGGAGCCCTGTGAGCAAGACAGATGAGCCAAGAGCTAAAATAACCAAGAAATGAGGTGCTAAGGGAGGCCAAGGTGGGCAGATCACCTGAGCTCAAGACCAGCCTGGGGAACGTGGCAAGACCTAGTCTCTACAACAAATACAAACATTAGCCAGGTGCGGTGGCACATGCCTGAAATCCCAGCTACTCGGGAGGCTGAGGTGGGAGAATCTCTTGAGCCTGGGAAGGACGGGGCTGCGTTGAGCTGTGATCACGCTACTGCACTCTAGCCTCCACGACACAGCAAGACCCTGTCTAAAAACAAAATTAAAACAAAGAAATAAGGTGGACTGACCCAGGTGTTGGTAGGCAACAAAAACAATGGCAGTGGGGGAGATTCAAGCTGATGACTTGAGTTTCACACTGGCTAATGATAGCTGAAGTGGGAAGGGGAGAGAATATTAAATATGCTTTCCCTTGCAGAAAACAATACGTCATCCCACAGCTTTAGGGTTACCTTACACAGATTAATGTTTTGTCTCTTGCTTTCTTAGCTTGCTGAGGCTTTTTAATGATATTGATCAGGCTCTGACTGCTCTTGGCAACTCTAATGGAGTCCTAGCAGTCGTCTATCACAAGAACTTCATTAACTAAAGAATGAAGCGTTCCCTTCATTCTTAGCCTACTCAGATGTGAGTCATGTTATTATCTAATTTTCAAGTCAGATTACATCTGTAATTCTTATGAAGGTAGCTAGCTCCATCATTTGATTAGATTTTATATTCCTTAGGTTCTTGACATATGTAAATGTCTTTTTAGTTTAACATTAACTACTCTCGAACTTGTATATTTCACATTTTTTGAAGTTGTATAAAATGTCTGATTGAATGCTGGGAATTTCTCAGCTTTCCCTGACTATCTGGTTATAGCTTCCATAATTGTTGAACTGTCATGAAGCAGGCACCTTTGTTTGTGGTTGATATTTGTTTTCAGCATTCCTTGTTAGCTAGAATATCTAGAGACCGTGATACGGTTTGTGTCCCTCCACAAATCTCACCTTGAATTGTAATAATCCCTATGTGTCAAGGGAGGGGCCAGGTGGAGATGATTGAATTATGGGGGCAGATTCTCCCATGTTGTTCTCCTGGTAGTGAATAAGTCTCATGAGATCTGATGGTTTTATATATGTGAGTTTCCCCACACAAGCTCTCTTGCCTGCCACCATGTAAGATGTGCCTTTCCTCCTCATTCACCTTCTGCCATGATCGTGAGGGATCTTCAGCCATGTGGAACTGTGTCAATTAAATGTCTTTACTTTATAAATTACCCAATCTCAGGTATGTCTTTATTAGTACTGTGAGAACAGACTAATACCATCCATTCCTGTGTCTTGTCTCCTTGGAGATTAACTTGCCTACTGATCCCTATTTTACTTGTAACAGAGACCTTAAACTAACTTTTAAGGGCATTTAAACCAAAATGAGTAATCTGACTGGGATTGTGTTGAGAATTTTCACTGACACAAACTCATTTTTGTTGCCCCAAAAAAGCACTTCCAAATGTTATATTATTTTTATTTTTTGGGACGGAGTTTCACTCTGTCACTCAGGCTGGAGTGCAGTGGCACAATCTAGGCTTACTGCAGCCTCTGCCTCCCAGGCTCAAGCGATTCTCCTGCTTCAGCCTCCCAAGTAGCTGGGATTACAAGCGAGTGCCACCATGCCTGACAATTTTTTGTATTTTTAGAAGAGACAGGGTTTCATCATGTTGGCTAGGCTGGTCTCGAACTCCTGGCTTCAAGTGATCCACCCGCCTCAGCCGCCCAAAGTGCTAGGATGACAGCTGTGAGCCACTGTGCCCAGCCTATTTTTTTAATGAACCTACTATGCCTTTATTTTCATTCTTTATTTTTATTACATGTTTTTCTCTCTTCCATGGTGCAAATTCCTTTCCTGTCTGTGATGACTTGGTGCTTTAGTGTTTATATTTTTATTAAAAACTATTTTTAAAATAGTTTTTAAAAATATAAATGGAGATGGGGTCCCACTATGTTCCGCAGACTGGCCTCAAGAGATGCTCCTGTCCCAGGTCCTAATCTTGCTGGGATTATGGGTGTGGGCCACCGTGCCCTAGGTCTTGATCTTGCTGGGATTATGGGTGTGGGGCCACCTGCCCCAGCTCCTGATCTTGCTGGGATTATGGGTGTGGGGCCACCTGCCCCAGCTCCTGATCTTGCTGGGATTATGGGTGTGGGGCCACCGTGCCCCAGCTCCTGATCTTGCTGGGATTATGGGTGGGGCCACTGTGCCCCAGCTCCTGATCTTGCTGGGATTATGGGTGTGGGCCACCGTGCCTGGCTGCTTCAGTGTTTTGTTGGTCTCATGAATCTGACTGATTCTTGACAAGGAAAAAAAATCACCATCCCCTTTGATATCATGTATCCTAGTATCTCTACTTACAAAGGGAAACATTATTATCACCATTATTTTACTTTTACTTTACTTTAGTTAATTAATTAATTTTTTTTAAGGCAGACTCTTGCTCTGTTGACCAGGCTGGAGTGCAGTGGCGCAATCTCTGCTCACTGCAACCTCCACTTCCCAGCTTCAAGAGATTCTGGTGCCTCAGCCTCCTGAGTAGTTGGGGTTACAGGTGCACAACACCATGCTCTCGCTAATTTTTGTATTTTTAGTAGAGATGGGGTTTTGCCATGTTGGCCAGGCTGGCCTTGAACTCCTGGCCTCAAGTGATCCACCTGCCTTGGTCTTCCAAAGTGCTGGAATTACAAGTGTGAGCCACTGTGCCTAGCCTACCATTATTTTTAAATTTAAATTTGCTTTAGAGGGAAGTCTTCTGGGCAAACATAGTCACAGCTCCTCATAAACGATTCTGTGGGGAAGTCCTCTAACTTTTAAGAGATAAATTCATCTCTTTTTATTTTTTAATTTGAAAAAAATATTTATTACACAGAATATGTTAATTGAATTCAGTTCTATTAGCTTTTTCCCTCTGGCTGTTCTTTCGTAGACAGTTTCTAATCTGTCCCCGTATTACAGTTGTGGGGAAGAGGAGCAGATGTGGTTCTTGGACGTAGCCCTCAAACAGAATCAGATCGAGCCTACACATACAGAGAATATCTGAGAGCTTTGTGCGTTGCCATATTCATCAGTAATTTCCTCTGCAAAAGGCAGTCATGTCTAGCTGAAAAACCTAAGCAGTTCTCTTCAGACTCAAATGATATGGGACGTATGTAATCATTAGTAACAGAGTCACTTAGAGACAGAGACGCTGGGTAATAACTGGGCTCACTCACTGGATAAATAACTTATTCGTGCATATCTGCCTTGAAGAGTAATTAAAAATTGTGTTTCAGAAAAATGACAAATTATTATACTCGAGAAAGTTCCACATACAGTGTTAAGTTGTTTATTCAGCTGGGTGCCATGGCTCACTCCTGTAATCCAAGCACTTTGAGGGGCTGAGGTGAGCCCAAAAGTTTGAAACCAGCCTGGGCAACATAGGGAGATACCTACTCTCTAGTTCCGGATTTCATTTTATTTACTTACGATTTCTTAACACACAAGGGAGACGGACCACAGCCCCTCTTTTGGGAATCTGGCCCTGGGCTTTGCTGCCAGGAGGCCACCAGAGCTCCTGCCGATGTTCGTTTCGAGTGGAATTTTGCTCATATTGAAGGTTCTCATCTCTGCACTCCTCATATTTATATTTTTATACTAATCGCTATCACTTTGCAGTTCATCATCTATATGCTCCTCAGTGGGGTTTGCTTCTTTTTAAGTTCTGGCTTTGTTCATCCACTGAGGTTGTTGGCTTGGGGTGTGCAGAGGCCTGGTGTGGACATCAGTGTCGCCACGACACCCAGCTCAGCACAGGGCGCTTACTGCGGGTTCAGTGAGAAATCCACGAGGACCTGTGGTCCCCAGGCCCTCGAAAGCCATGGAGAAGTTTGGGATGTTTCAAGGGGTAATTGAAAGCTCCTTCTCCCTTTTAGTCATGACATCTGCTCTGAAACGGTTCCCAGGTTATGTCTCTTGGTGGGACCAGGCCCCGGACACAGCTCTGATTGAATGACTCTTAAGCTCTCCTTTACTCCTGATAAGGCCTCCCACACACCCATTTCCTCCGGAGAGAGAATGGGAACTGGCTCCCCAGAGGACCCTCCCTCCTCCCCTTCCCTGTCCCAAGCTCAGAGTCTGAAGGCAGTGGGGCTGAAGGAAGAGGAACTGAGAGAAGCCAGGAGTTCAAAAAGCCATTGGTTTAATGGGGTGAGGAGGTAGGAAGGATTCAGTGGCAGGAAGGTGAGTGCTGCGGCTCCTCTTTCTGCCTTGGCAGGGGTTGGCATCTAGGAGAGGAGCCCTGAACGCTCTCAGGCATGGGGTCAACAGGGAGAGGACTGGAGAGCAGGAATGCACGAACTTTGCCTCTTGCTGTGGGGAGGGAGGAAGGAGACGCCGCATACAGGGAGGAACATTAGCCGCCTCGTGTCTGGGAAGGTTGGACAATACTGCACTTCTGTGGGTACAGACAGAGGAGGAGGGAGACGGGTCAGAGGCCAGAAGAGATCAGAGGGGCTTGGCAGTGCAGCAGCCGTTAAAACTGATGGATCCCACAAAACACAAACCAGCAGACGGCACCCTTGCCCTCCCCTCGCCCTCCCCTTGCCCTCCCCTCACCCTCTCCTCGCCCTCTGTCCTTGAGGGCTGCCCTCCCGTCCGGCTTCTGCCTCTACTTCTTCCTCCCAATCTGTGCCATCAGATGGGCATTGGCGGCGGCCTGGGCACGCAGGTTCTTGGCTTTGGCGATGTTGAAGAGGTGGTTCATGATGTTGGTGGGGACGTCGAGGGACAGGGTGAACTTGGTACGCTGGGGACTCTTGGCTGTGTCCTGGTGTGCCTTTCCCCTGGGCTGTGCCTGGGACACATATTTGTACCGAGTGCCCCCAGCTCCACCCCTGGCCCCAGAGACGAGGAAAGTCCTTTTCCCTTTGCCCTCCTCCTGCTCTCCTGAAGAGGTGTCTTGGCTGGGCAGATGATGGAAGCTCCTTTTGCTCAGCAGGGATTCGTCCTGCCCCTGACTCTTCTCGGCCTCAGACAGGGCGGTATTGAGGCAGCTGAAGATGGGCTTGGCCTTGTAGAACTTGTGGGGGAGGCCTGTCCTGGGGCCCCCCAGGAGCAGCAGCAGGACCAGCAGGAAGTGGATGGGCATCGGCATCTCTCCCTGCAGCAGAAAAGAGGGACGTGGGCAGGGGCATGGGAGGGGCTTGTCACTCAGGAGGACCCGGATTCAAATCTAATAGGGTGTGGTTACTGTTCCCCCACCAGGGTTCTCCAAGCAGGACCCCCAGACCCGTAGTAGCAGCCTCATCTGGAACTTTGTTAGAAATGCAAGTGATTCTCAGGTCTTTTTCCAGAATGAGTAAATCAAAAGCTCTGGGGCCCAGCTGCCTGTGTTGTAACAATCCTGCAGATGATCTCAATGATCACTACAGTGTGAGAACTATTTATTACCTTATTAGTATTTACGGTTTTATTTAATTCAGCTCTGCAGGCAGCCACTGCCCTGTAAAGTGAATAAATAACATAGTAAGTAAGCGTTTAGCAGCCGACTGTGGCTGATTTTAACGGCAGGTGAATTTTTTGTTCCTTTGTCATTGGCAAGGCTGACTGAATTAATTAATCATCCCTGTTACTTAAAGACCGTGGCTGGGCGTCTAGTCAGTGTTTTGAAGACAGATCTTTAAGGCTGGTTTCTCGCTAGGCTGTCCTAGTTTCGTGAGAACGATCAGATTTGTTATTAATAACTAGTCTGGTTTTACTACAGAATTTATGAATTTATGAAGCGAAAGTCAACTTGGTCTTTATGTCAGACCAAGTATCATCCGGGGAGCACCTCTGTCCTCTAACCGCGGGACCTCAATGCCAACATTATCTGTGGTCTCTAAGATGTGTGGGATCCTGTTCTCAGTCAGACTGAGTCCGAGTGGTTGTCCAGGCCAAGAAGGAGACACTGAGAACTCTGAAAGGGTCACAGTCTACACGGACCAATGGAATCCATTCTATTATTTAAAAAAGAAAAAGAAAGGAAAAACTGGCCAGTCACGGTGGCTCACAGCTATAATCCTAGCACTTTGGGAGGCCAAGGTGGGAGGATCGTTTGAACCCAGGAGTTCAAGAGCAGTCTGGGCAACATAGTATGACCTCATCTCTACACACACACACACACACACACACACAATTAGCTGGGCGTGGTGGTGTGCACCTGTCTTCCCAGCTACTCGGGAGGCTGAGGCAGGAGGATTGCTTGAGCTCCAGAGGTCGAGGCTACAGTGAGCTGTGACTGTGCCACTGCATTCCATCCTGGGTAACAGAGCAAAACCCAGTCTCAAAAAAAAAGGCAAGAAAAACCCCTAAGTGTTAGCATCGGGAATGTTGTGGCAATAAAAACATCTCACTCAGTGGCCCTCATGTAACGTGGACTGTTCGGGCGTGGAGCATCAGACACCCTTGTTGGCCCACCAATCACCAGTGTTAACGCATCTAACTGCCGCCTCCATCAGGGGAGAGGAGCTTGTGCTGAGCCACCCGCACCCTCCCAGCGGTGGCAGCAGGCAGCTTCTGCTGCTACCCTCCCACCGGTGGCACCGGGCTCCTTCACGGTAGCAGCAGGCAGCTGTGCTGGAGGCCGTCAGAGTTCGGGTGGCCTGTGATCACTATTCCTAAGGATTGTGAGATGGGCCGGGTTGACTTCCTGTGCTGTGCGCCCAAACCCACCCTGCAGCCAGCCCTTTTGCCTGGCTGTGGCACACATTCACTCCAGCCCTGTAATAGGGACATCACATTTATTTATTCATTGTTGTCCTTCATCATGCCTGAGGGCGAAACAGTGAGGTGCACATGCCCGGAGTTTTATCTAAACTCCTACAGAAAGCAGGGCTGTCGTCTGCGGCCCCGCTCACACCCCGACATGCCTGTTCTCTCACTGCAGTGTGAAGATGAACCATCCCCCAGGCTACCCTGTGAGATACAAGCAGTGAAAGGCTCTGCTCTTTGCCTTTGGGGGCTTTACCCGAACTTGAAGATTACCTTATTACCTAAGACACCCTTGAGTTTCACAAAAGCAAGCAAGAAGCGTGGTTCTCTACAAACTTGGGAGAATTCTTTTCTTATGTTAGTTTTTAAAAATAAATAGGAACAATGGGGCAAGTAAATCACCTGGGGATTCACCTGGGCTTTCAGCAGTGCGAGGCTGGCATTGGGTCATTGCGTTCTTTGTGGCGACGGTACAGAGCAGCGCCAAGCAGGGCTGGCGGTCGGGGCTCCTGCTCCAGCCTCCCTCTGCAACTTCTTGTCAGTGTGGCCTTGACCAGGCCATTTCCCGTACGTGAGTGCAGTGGACCCAACCCAAGCCCATCCAGACAGCCTTAGGCTGTGAGTGATGGATGGGCTTGGGTTGGACCAGTGCTGACCCTTAAAAAAGAAGCCTGGGGCCAGGTGCCATGGCTCACGAGGTAATCCCAGCACTTTGGGAAGCCGAGGTGGATGGATCATGAGGTCAGGAGTTCAAGACCAGCCTGGCCAGCATGGCCAAACCCCATCTCTGCTAAAAGTAAAAAAATTAGCCGGGTGTGGTGGTGTGCGTTTGTGGTCCCAGCTACTCATGGGCTGAGGCAGGAGAATCTCTTGAACCTGGGAGGGGGAGCTTGCAGTGAGCTGAGATTGTGCCACTGCACTCCATCCTGGGTGAAGTGAGACTCTGTCTCAAAAAAAAAAAAAAAAAGTAGCCTGGGTTTCTTTCTAAAGAGGATCCTGTAAATACCTGTCATTTCACTTACGCTGAAAACAGACACACGTAACAGACAAAAACATAGACAAGCACATAGACATACTCACATACTCATCAACATGTACACATATACACATACATATGCATGCACACACAGATACACACATACACACCTCACACATGCATACACTTAGGCACACACCTCACACATACATACTATACCCACATACATATGTGATTCTCATCCCACATACATATAGACACATGCACACAACTATACATGCACACATATTCACACACATACATACACATGCACACACATATACACCTCACACACACGCATGCAAACACGTACATATGCACATGCATATACACCTTACGCACATACACATACACATATACTCACATGCATGAACAGTTACCCAGCAAATCTTCTGTCAAAGCCTGTTGCTTCCTGTGGCTCTCCACGTTGAAGCTGCTGCCTTTCTCGCCTTTAATTTTTTTTCTAAGAAATCGGGTTTTGTTTTGTTTGTTCGATTTATTTTGCATTACAAAACTTTGGAGCTTATTTTATGTAATAATATTTTTCATAATTTATGAAAAAACACAGGATCCTTGCTTTAAATAGTGCAAACCTCTGAACCAGCCAGGTCTGGGCGCGTAGGCTGGTGCAGCGAGCACCATGCAGGCTTTGGAGTTACACAGCCACGGGCTCGAATTCCTTCTTTGTCTTTATTTGCTGAGGGTTTGGGCAGGTGACCTCCGTGAATTTCAACTTCCTTCTCTCATAAATGGGATAACAATAACCACCTCATAAAGGTTAAGTGAAGGACTCGATGAAAAACGCGGATGTGTGTGTGAAGGCTCCTGGTCTAAGCAGATGCTTAATCAAGGCGGACCCATCCCTGAATAATCTCCAGGTCTTCTCAGGAGAAGATCTGGTCTGCATCCAACCTTCTCAGAAGTGCATTTTACACACACAGATCTGCATACACAGTACACATGTGTACAGCGAGATCAGGTAGGCTGAGCAAGGATTTGACCCTGCAATCCCACGTCCTTGCTGTACCGTACCTCTGGCTTGTAGCTTCTGGCTGTGCGATACCCTCTTCACCCTGACCTAGGCAGACTCCTTTTGCCCTTAGTCTAAGTGGTTCTCAGCTTTCAAGTGCTTTGGACTCGTGGAGGTGCGGTTCAGACACAGCCTGTGAAGCCCCATCCCAAGAGCTTCTGAGTCACTGTGTCTGGGATGCTCCTGAGAAGCTGCATTTCTAGCAGCCCAGTAGCGCTGATGCTGAGGTCTGAGGACCACACTGAGAACCACTGCTCTATGTGCTCTGACCCGTCTCTGGGCTCCTTGGAACTGTACACTGGAGTTACAGGGGTGCAGTAACCGTATCTGGAAAATGGGCTTTTCTTTCCTTAAATATTGCATCCAATAACCAGACCGTCAGCTTTCTCGTTTACAGAGGACCAACTGAGCTGTATTTCATAGAGTATGAAGCATGATTTTAGCTGCCTTATACCTTCTTCAAGGCATCTTAAAGCTTGGAAATGATTTTGAATGGCTTGCTAACCATGAAAGGGTTAAAAAAAACAAAAACCAATTTGGAAAAATACTGGTGGGAAAGTGGTGGAGAATCTTTGTCTCTCTGTCCCTTTACTCGTCCATCCCCTCATCCCTTTCCCCACCAGACTCAGTCCGGTCCCTCCCACTCACTAGCTTGTGGCTAACCGTCCCAGGCCTCAGTGTTTCCCTCCTGGAGAGCAGGGGATCGAGTTTGAGAATCTTTGTTCTGATTTCTTGCTTTTTCTACTTCTGAAAGCCAGTGGTCCCTCTCTGAAAAGGACTGGGGTAATGAAATGATTTCTCGATTTTCACCAAATGAAAGGTGGCTGGACTCTGGGTGGGTGGAAACTAAAAGAGAGGGTGCTGTCTGGGCGAGGTGGCTCATACCTGTAATCCCAGCACTTTGGGAGGCCGAGGTGGTTGGATCACCTGAGGTCAGAAGTTCGAGACCAGCCTGGCCAACTTGGCGAAACCCCATCTCTACTAAAAATACAAAAATTTGCCAGGTGTGGTGGCACACGCCTGTAATCCCAGCTACCCAGGAGGCTGAGAATTGCTTGAACCCAGGACATGGAGGTTGCAGTGAGCCAAGATTGTGCTACTGCACTCTAGCCCGGCGACAGAGTGAGACTCAGTCTCAAAAAAAAAAGATGGTGCTGAGGTGCAGCCCTGGAGCTACACTCAGGCCTCCCCTGTGGGTTCCACACGGCTGTCTCCCTACCACCCCACTGCCCCATTTGTCTGTTTTACCTCCTCAAACCCTGCACCCCAGCCCAGGGAACCCCTCCCTGCTCCTCTCTATTTCCTTCCCAGGGCTGCATTCTGCATTTACCCTCAAACACCTGGAACTTTGCACAATAACTGCAAATATTACTGAGAACTCAGAATACTTTCTGACTCCAAGCCCATTGTGGGGCTCTGCCCTCACTGGCTGCCCCTTGAGTGTGAATCAGCACCTGAGTTTACCTGTTTATTCCCACTCCTTAAAGACACTTTGGGTGTTACATTTCTTTGGTATCTCCATTTTGCTAAATATGCCAAGTCTTTCACTATGCAGAGATATTCCCTCTGGGTCATTTGGCTCTCAGCAGAGTGACTCAGGATGCTTGGGAAAGCCTGACATGGCCAACAGTGCCTTATACTAAATCATATTCTCAATCATTATTTGTTGAATGAACTGAAATTCAATTAGTATTCAGGTACGTAAGACAATTTATTTTCCAAAGCAAAGCAACCTCTTTTAAATTCTTTTCTGGATGTATATTTTCTCTGCAAAATATATGGCATACATTTTTTTGTTTCATTTTTTATTATGAAGTTATACATGTATACCTAGAAAGATGACGGGTTCTGAACATGAAACAGCCTTGTCTCAGTAACTCTCTAAGTTTTCCTGAGAAAAAATCCAGATTTTCCCTTGCAGTGGGCTAGCCTCTGGATGTGCCCCCTGCTTCTCATCACAGTTACAAAAGCAAGGCATTGAGGGGAGGAAGTGAGATACCTTTAGCTCTATATTTACTTTTTTTTTTTTTTTAAACATTTTTGAGGTCAATTTGTAGATATCGTGCCTTTAAAAAATGCATTGCCTTCTTACTTTTCAAATCCCAAGCCCACCATCAGAGAAGAATACTGTTTTCACGGACAGAGTGCTGAAGGCATAGAAAAGATCTGTGAAAGTGTCAGGGAGCGGGTGTCCTGTGTGGCGTTCTGTTCTCAGTGCATCCCAGGGCAGCAGAGCTCCTCTGTCTGCAAAGCCTCAGCTCCAGCCTGCACAGGGTTGGTGGGGGTGGGTATTGGAAGGTGTCCCCTTACCATCAGCAATGATGCAAACTTACATAGTGAAGGAACCTCCCAGAACTGTGAATTGGACATGATGAGGATGTCCGATGCTGGGCACCGGTTCCAGGTCATTTAAAATATAAGGGTTCTTTGCAACCCTGCGTATTTTCACCATCAAAGTGCACAAGTGGTCAGGGGCTAGAAGGTAGATTCAGATTTCTTTCTGGGACTTTTCTTTTTAGGATCTGTTTAGATTTGTTTAGGGTTCATAGGATAAAAGAAAAGGAACTCTCCCCAAAGAAAAGACACCCTTTCCTTCTCACATAAAGTCTAATTTTGCAAGTTTCTCCTTTTATATTCCTTGCACTCTTCCACTATACCCTTGGTGAAACACCGCCAAAGTTTAAGATTTCTCTGCAGCCTGCCATGAAAAGTTTTTTCACATTTGAAGGGCAAAGCTCTACACCTGCATTTTTCCCTGGGTGCCTGAAACTCAGCCATTCCTTTGGGCTACGATGACAGTAGCACTCGTCTAGGGTGCTGCAAAGAGACAGAGTTACTTTGGGAGCTGTGGCACGGAAACGTGAGAGACCTGGGTCAGCCTCCAATTCCCAGCATCTGGCAGGGAGAGGACAGAGCGTGAAGCAGCAAAGGCTGGAGGCAAGAAGCACTGGCCACACAGCTCGGCCAAGTGCAGAGCTATTCCCGTAGGCTCAGTTTGTCTGCAAACACTCATAAGAAGTTAAACTAAAAACTAGACCACTTAAATGACTTAAAACAATGTTTAAATCTTACATTTGTTATTTTTTTTTTTTTTGGTAGGTGGCTATGCTTGGGAAGGAAATTGCAAACAGGGTTTTTCAGAAAATGTGAGCATCAGATATCCATCTCCCCTTCACAGGTAGCAGTTAGCCATTGTAGATATCTGCACACAGCCGCCCAGTGTTCCCAGTGTGGCAAAGGACTCTGGGCTTTGGTGGCTGAGGACCTGGCTGGGAAAACTCTCTCGCCTCTGACTTTTCTGCGTGAATCACTGAACCTGCATTTCATTTGCTACATCCTAAGAAGCAGCTGTTACCTGCCTCACAGGTGTGCCCAAGAGTGAAGGGAGATGGCACAGCGAAGGTCTCTGGCACAGGTAAGCAGTAAGTGTAGGTGTCCTTGCCGCTCTGCAGACAGCGTGGAGTCCTGTCCTGTGACTTCCATTTGCCCCGGCATCCCTACCCCATCCCCAGTTTGCAAACTGTCTCCAGGGACTGACTTTCCTGGGGACAACTGAACTCTTCAGAGAAAATAGATTTGTGTGAACACATTCTGCCTCTGATCTAACACCTTTGGAAAGCAGGTCTCTCTCTACCAACAAGGGAATGTGATTTTGCCTCACTCCCCTGCGAAACTCACCCTGTCCCTTTGGGGCTGATTTCTGCTGATGGGGTGGGGGACATTCAGCATCGCTCCCTTGGGCTTCCAGCAGGAGCTCTTAGCCGCTCCAATCTCTCACACCTGTCCAGTGCCTGGCACATCCTGCTTAAATTAGGGCAAGTACATTTACCCTTCCTAAGTCAGTCCCGACCACAGGCTTACCTGAGAGTGGACTTCACTCCGAAGCAGAAGGCTCAGGGCAGCCGGCGCAGCTTCAGGGCCAGGAGGGAGGCCCCAGGCACATCCCCCTGAACTTCGGGCTGCTCCAAGCTCTGGGCTCCTGCTCCTCTGGTATTGTTCCTAAGTGGGCTGTGATAGCCCCTCTCTATGGAAACTGGTCCCCTCCCCTGTGTATATATAAAAGTGACAGATCACAGGGTGGATCGTAATTCCAGACGTAGCGTCTATGCTGGGATGAGATTTCTTTTAAAATACAACCAGAACCAGCCGTCCACGTCATGCAGATGACAGGTGCTCCAGCCTCGACCCCTCCCACCTCTGCTCCCCACCCCGTCCTCCTGGCTCACCCCGCTCCTCTTGCTTCCTAGCAACTTGCTTCATTGATAAAAAGCAAAGAACAAAATAGAACAACAACGACAAAAAAGAAATAAAAACCCACAACGAAACAGAACAAAAATTCTGGTAAAGTGGGGAGCAGTGTCTTTGAAGAATTTTATTGCTAATCTTAGTTCAAACTAATCTCAGTTTCCCCCACATTCCCCTTGACCTACTCCTTTCGGAAATCTCGAGCCCAGACCTGCTTTGAAAGCAGAGAAGGGGTTTGAAGTCCACTGTGGCCGTGTTTTGTGGGTTCTGACCGTGCAGCGTCAGCTAGCCACACACGCAGTCCCTGTGCTTGTTACGCGCTCTGTGCCTGCTTCCCACATAAAGTCTAATTTTGCAAGTTTCTCCTTTTACATTCCTCACACTCTTCTTCTCAGTGAAACAACCCAAAAGTTTACGCTTTGTCTTCAGCCTGCCACAAAAATAGCTGAGCACAGTGTAGTTATTAATCTGTCTGAGAGGCAAACTCTACACCTGCATTTTTCTCTGGATGCCTGAAACTCGACCATTCCTTTGGGCTGTGATGATGGAGATCATCATACCCCGGAGGTCCAGAGGCATTAGTGGGAAATCGCTTGGATTTTACTCGTTACGCATCCTCTATTTATTGAGAACCTACTGTGTACCAGGTATTGCTAGGATCCTCAGGACTGGAGAGATGATAAGTAAGTTGTGGCCCCTGATCATACAAGACACTCATGGTTTAGAAAGATAGATAAGGCAAGGCATGGTGGCTCACACCTGTAATCCCAGCACTTTGGGAGGCTGAGGTGGGCAGATCACGAGTTCAGGAGTTCAAGAACAGCTTGGCCAACATGGCGAAACCCCATCTCTACTAAAAATACAAAAATAAAATTAACTGGGCATGGAGGTGGGTGCCTATAATCCCAGCTACTTGGGAAGCTGAGACAGGAGAATCGCTTAAACCCGGGAGGCATAGGTTGCAGTGAGCAGAGATCATGCTGTTGTACTCCAGCCTGGGTGACAGAGTGAGACTCCATCTTGAAAAAAAAAAAAACAGGAAATAAAAAGAGAGGTAGGTAAAAAATGCTATAGAAGGGAACAGTCCTGTCCACTCAAGACAGGAGAGGAGAGCAGGAGGGGTTTCAGACAGAAAGGATGGTTCAGCACAGACAGAGCCAGGGATGAGAGGGATGGGAGGGAAGGCAGGTGAGGGAGGGAGAGGTCGGTGGATGAGGAGGCTGTTCTGCACTGAGGTGCTCCAGAGGCCTGCAGAGTTGGGAAGATGTGGGGGACTGCAATCTCGTGACCCCTTATTCACAGATGAGGAAGCTGAGGGCTGTGAGAACTGACCTGCCCGGACGCCACAGGCCCAGGGTGACACAGACAGGTGAGAACCAGGCCTGACGCTGGGCTCGGGATGTGCTCTTTTCACTGGGTTGAACTGATGACAAGGGGCCCTGCAAGGCGGGCTGGCTGTCCCCAGCCCTCCTCCCAGATGGCTGCTCCTCTCATGAAATTCCTCTAGGTGAAGAGGTAAGAGGCCTTCTGAAGTTACCAAAACTATTTAAAGCCCATGAGCACTTGCAGGAACACATGGAAAGCCATCGTGCGGAAGGACTTCAGGAGCCTGTGCCCCCTATTCTAAGCCTCTTTGCAGAGATAGAAAGTCGGACCTCCCTCTCTTACTTCTTCCAGAGCTGCCTGGGCTGGGATTCTCTCGAGTTTGGAGGCAATATGAAACTGGATCTGTGTTTTAATTCAAATTCATTAGTTCACCAGTTCATTCATTCATTCATTCTAGTTTTTGTGAGGTTTTTGTTCTGTTTTCCATTTCAGATAATGGAGCAGTAATGGGATTTATGCAGGCTGAGGAGTAGATAGAAACCTGAGTTTAACTCCCCTGTCTGCCTTATGGGCTCTGGGACCCAGGGGGTGTCTGAGATGTTAGGGGGTCTTGTGAAGACACCAAACATTGGTCCCCCAGTGCAGGGTTTCCCATCCTCAGCTCTGTTGACATTTTGGGTGAGGTAATTCCTTCGTTGGCCCTTGGGTCTGCCCTGAGCTGTGGAGGAATTTAGAGCATCCCTGGCCTCTACCCATTAGATGCCCGTAGCACTCCTCTCCTCATTTGTGACCTTCAAAAATATTTTCAGACATGTCCCCTGGAGGCATGAAGACGACTTCCCTATAATGTGGGGTTCAGAGAGGGAGCTGTTGAATCTTGGCTTCTTTTCTTGTTTCCTCTGAACTTCCTAGAAATCCTCCTGCCCTGAGGCCACCTCACTGGGACTGAAGAGTCTCGGTGTTGGTGGCTGCTCTTGGAGCCTGCCATCCCCTCGTCACACAGAGCAGGCTCATTGGCTCCCACTGGTCCATCCTGGGTGGGCCTTGGCATTGCCCAGTGACTTCCGCTAGCCCGGTTGGAGTTCCACACAGAATGCTTTCTAGACATGAGCGGCTGTAAGGGTGCAGTACAAGGTGTAGTTTTCTAGAAACTTCAAGAAATAGTACATTTGCTTTACAACTTGAATGCTGCTTCCACCTGCATCTGGTGGGGGACTGAAGAGAGGCTTGGACAGCAAGAAGATGATTAGTAGCAAGACTGCTGGCAAATAGCGATTTCCCTCCCTGCAGTGGCTGACGCGTGACTGTGGTGAGCTGCTGCGCTTACACTTCTCTCTGGCCTTGGTGAGCCATGGGTGCCTTTCCTGGACTCAGCATGAGCTTGTTGTTCAGGGATGTAAATGCCCTGTAAAGGGTACATAGAGGGCCAGGGTGAGAAGAAAAAGCCGATCAGCTTCACAAGTGAATAGAAATGGCTCATATTTTCAAAGCTCGTTTCTCCAAAGTGCCCAAAGCACTTACACTTAATAACGTAATTGTCTCCTCAACATCTGAGTGTGGGAGTAAAAGAAAGAAATAGAAGAGAGAATGAGCAAACTGTGAGAAAGCTTGACTTACGGGAGAGAGGCTTCACTGAGGAGCTGGAGGGTCCCTTTCCATTTCTGCCTGTGTTGCTAGCGTGGGTATTGATTCTCATGGACACACGCATTCTCTAGTTCTCTGACTCCTGTTTTATGAAATGTAGATTCTATACATTTTATGGAATGTATAAACGGTGTGCCTTCTATACACAATTGGTGTGCCTTCCCTATTTGTTTGTTTGTTTGTTTTTTTTTTGAGACGGAGTTTCGCTCTTGTTACCCAGGCTGGAGTGCAATGGCGCGATCCTGGCTCACCGCAACCTCCGCCTCCTGGGTTCAGGCAATTCTCCTGCCTCAGCCTCCTGAGTAGCTGGGATTACAGGCACACTCCACAATGCCCAGCTAATTTTTCGTATTTTTAGTAGAGACGGGGTTTCACCATGTTGACCAGGATGGTCTTGATCTCTTGACCTCGTGATCCACCTGCCTCGGCCTCCCAAAGCGCTGGGATTACAGCCGTGAGACACCGCGCTATTTGTTTTTAACAAGGATGATGTCCAGATAGTATTGGAAGAACCTGACAAACTTGTAAGTGAACACAGAATATTAGCATCATCTTTCTTCTTCAGTTCTCCCTTCTTTGCTCCGACTGATTTTTTGTTTGTGACTTTTCACTTTCAGCAGAGCGTGTGTTCGCTTCCCCCTGTGTTTGGATTGTCAGGTTTTGTGTTGCAAGTCTGTCCAGTTTTGTTTTATGTATCTGGAGTGTTGGGCATCGATAAATTGTTCATCTTATCATTTTGCCACAAACCTCTTTATCCTAAATAATACTTCTCGTAATGTATTTGCTTTGCCTGATATTGAAATAGCTCTCCCAGCTTTCTATTGAATAACTTTTCCTTGCTGCATTTTTTCCAGTCTTTTCTGTTTCAGAATTACTTTGGAAATGGTATATATTTAAATTTCAAAAATTAAATCTAACAATCTTTGCGTTTTAACCAAGGGCTTTAGTAAACGAATGTAAAAATACTCGACTCCTGACATATTGGAGTTATTTTCAGCCATCTTACCTTGTGCTTTCTCTTTGCCCAATTTGTCTCCCTTTTCTTCTATTTATTATTGTTTTTTCTTTTCTGCCATCTTCATTTTCCCTGTATTTTACAATCTAAGCATCTAAAGCTATTTAATATATAACGTTTCCTCTGAGCATTGTTTTAGCCACATCCCATGAGTTTTAATGGGTTGCATTTCCACTGTCATTCAGTTCAAATATTTTAAATGTTTTTCTGTGATGAAGGGTAGCCAACTATGTCACTCCAAAATATACCACTTTGGCATAAGGATTATTTTGAGCTGATGGCAGTTAAGGAAAAGTAGATACTATTAATAGATTAGCTCTTACCCTTCCCATATTTACTAAGGCAGGACATGCATTTGTAAAGGTGTCAGCCCTCCTCTCTACCAGGAAGAACAGAGTTAATCCCCTGAGACATCCTAGACTTTTATTAGCCTGGAGGAGCCAGAGAAATCTACTTAACAAACCTTACTCACTAGCTCTTATCTTTCATTAGTTCCCTCATATATTTACCTTCCTGCAATTTGCCTCCCCTAAAACCTCAAAGTGCTTTTATTTTGTCTTGCTACTTCTCTAAAAATTTATTGTTCTGTTGCTAAGATGCTCTAGAATCCCAAGTTCTAACCACTCCTCAGAGTTTCTCATCCCTGACTTATCCTTGTGCATGTAGGGCGCCCTGGCCGAAGAACTTGTGTTGTTTTTCTCTTGTTAATCTGTCTTCTGTTGATCTAATTTACAGAACCCCAGCAAGGAGGGTGGAGAGAAGCCAGGAGGGTAGAGGGAAAAGGTTTTTTAACTTTTCCCTTGTAAACCTGGTGATGATACATTATCTTAGTTTTCTTTTATCCGACAATGTCTTTATTTCCTTTTTACTATTGAAGAATAATTTTTATGGGTATAGAATTCTGGATTAGCAGAGCTTTTCCTTTTCTTTTGGCGTTA